TCATGCAATGAAAACTGCCAATAATCATTTTCCAATCGATGATTTCTGCAACAAGCTCAGACTTAAAAGAGTTAAAGTAACTGGAGGTCATTAAATTTTACAATACTCAATGCTATTTTAATTGTTTTATATGATTAAAAAAACTATTACAGTTTTATATTAACGTTGAAGTACAATACCAAAAAAAACTATTTTTTTTTTTTGTTCGAATAAGTAATATTTTGAATCTGTTTATGGTATTATTATTGCCTAGATATATATTGTAATCTTTTTACACTTATTATACATTTTAGTTTTTACATATTTTTGTTTATATTTATTTTACTAAATAATTACTAATAGATAAAGAAGTATGAGATGGATTTAGTTTCCCAGCTACAGAGTACTCCAAAGAATGTAAGTAATTATGTTTGTAAATACTTTTGTTTCTCTTTTGATTTAACTTTTCTTTGTTTTTTATAATGTAAAGAATAAAATAACACCTAATATTAACTATTAGTCAAAGCTAATTTTAATATTACTGTCTAAATTATTTGACTTGTGGTAGTTTGATTGCCAGTGTAATTTTATTTAGTGAAGTTTTGGTCGATAAGGATCGAGGAATAATATGGTTTTAACTAGTTTTGATCTTATGAACAAAGTTTATATTATGATTTAATTTAATAATTTATAGTTACAATAAGTTTTGTTTAGGTAATTAATGTATGGATATATGACTATTTTTAGTTGTAAAATATGTCTGTATATATATATAAATATTTTTTTTTTTTTTTTTACTTCACCTCCTCAAGGCCGAGAAGGCCACTACAGACGAGGAGGCTACTTATTTTGTGGCTATAACCCTCTCTCAACTCTATAACTCCGAAACACGAACCTTGACGAACAAGGCCGCTGCGCGGAGAAACAAGTTGAGCGCGGTACTACCAGAGACGTGGTGGGGATCGATATATATATACACACACACACATATACAGTAAACTCCCGGTTATTCGAACCTCCAAAGGGTAAAAGAATTTTGTTTGAATAACTGAAAATGATCTTTAAAGTGACCTATTTCAAGTTACTTTCAAATTTTAATAAAAGTAGAAAGTAAAAAAAAAAGACCTTTGGAATGAGATGCTTCTTTAATTTTTTCTTTGTAAAACAATGAACGTTTTACAATTTATTGTAAAAATTGTCCATTTTTCATTTTTTTTTTCTTTAAATGTGTTTTGTTTATCCTTAAGGGGAGAAAAACATTGTTTCCAATAACTGCAGGTTATACAAATATATATTTATTCTCGACATGTTTTGTAAAATTTATTTACATTTTCAAAAGATTATTTTACAATAATAAAACTCTGAAATAAATTAAAATAAAAAAATAAAAAAAAAGTCTTTACAGAAAAATAATAACAAACAAAAATTTGAATTATAAACCAAAATAATTTTTACAAAATAACTAACTCAAAAAAAAAGAAAAATATATAAATAATAATAAACTGACAGTAAAATTAAATAGTTAAGTTTATAGCATTATGTGGAGGACTTCTTTTATTTTTAATTTGCGTTTTGTTTGGGCATTATCTTTTGGGCATTTTATTATACCCATTATACATGGGTTTATAGCCGGGGCTAGAAAAAAATTTATAATACTTAATATATTATAATTTTATGCTTGCATTTACTATTTAATAAATACTGGCATATATTTATATTTTAAAATCTAATTTACTTCCAACAAGATTGCAAGCAACCACTATTAAGTAATGAGTTACTTTCAAATAAAGAACCAGTTAAAATACTAGGAAACCTATAACTAAAAACATAAAAGGTATAAGTTGTATAAAAAAGGAAAATATGAAGTTTTGTAACAGTTATAAGATTTTTTTGATTTTCAAGGAAAAAAACTGAATTATTTATCATGCTGTAAAAAGATTTTATAGCATTAAGGAACAAATGCAGTTAAAGGATGCAACTTGTTGAATAAATGGCCAATTGAGAATGAGTTTTAGTTTATCGTTATAGAGATAAGAGTTTGTTTGAGCATTGACTATGATTGTATTTGTAGAAAAAAGAAAGAAATGCAACTTTATAACAATGGGAGAGTGGCTCAACATTGGCAGATAAAGCTGATCTTACTACATTTACAATGTGAATTTAGACTTTGTCTGAGAGTAAGAGGGTTGTTATTTGTCAATATAGGAATGCCAACAATATTGTAATATTTTTTTGCAGTTGATAAATGAGTTTTGCTGTCTAACAAAAATTGTGGATTTTAAGTCCAGAATTTAAATCCATAAGCCACAGCAAGCCTTAGGCTGTTACAGAAGAGAGGTCAGAATTAAAATTGGCTGCTTGTTCTAAGCAATTAAAGATGATTTTTTGTCAAGACAAGAGTGTAAAGTGGATTCATGAACAAATTTAGTCACTTTAGATTTCATTATGATTGTTATTGTAGATAAAAAATATTACAGGAGCAAATATAGAACTTTGTGGTTCTCTTAAAGTTACTTAATGAAGAGGGTAGGCCTTCAAGAATAACTTTACTACTGCAGTTAGAAAGAAATAATTTAATAACCTCAAAAATTTTACATAGAAAATTATAAGAAATTGATAACAGAGTGAAGAAAATTTGTAGGATGCTTGGAGAGGTCAAGGTGTTTTCTAGAGTTTTGAAAAATTTGAACCATGTATTTAGCACTTTTTAAAAGTTTAGCAAAAAATTTGAACCATGTATTAGCACTTTTTAAAAGTTTAGCAAAAATTGTTGAGAGTTCTGAAAAACACTTTTTTAAGACTATGATGGAAATCTTGTCTGAAGCACAAATGGTAGAAGTGTTTAATTGAGAATTAATTTTAGTATTGGAAGCCAGAGTAGTTAAGATGCTTAACAATGGATTATTTTGTTTAACTGTCAGGAAGAGGATGTCCATTATATTCGAGAGAAAATGATAGTAAGATTTCTTTGTAAATAGCTCTGCTTTACTCTGGGGTAAAGTAAAAAGATCAGACCCATGATTTAGAGAATAAACGTTAGACTTACTTGAGTTAATAACACTGTTGAAAACTAACCAAAAGTCTCTACAACCTAACATTTAAAAAAAGATACAAGGTTTAGTAAATTGAGAATAACAGAGATTTACATCAGACAAGACTTTATTTAAACATTTGCTTATTGTAATAATAAAAAGGATAATTTGTTCTTAAGAGAGATGTTCTTATAAAAAAGATGAAAAAAGTTCTTAATGTTGAAAGATGTAGAGTAGAATGTGGCTCATCTTAAAACTGAAGAGAAGTAATAAAAGCTTCCAAACTTTTATTCCAGAAGCAATATAAGTCTCCAAGATGCACTTTTTGCACACACATTACAGATATAATCACATCTGTTTGCTGTTTGTTTAGATGCTGGCATACAATATCCTTTCATTGCTATATAAACTTGAGTATTTATATGATATAGTATTTTCCAAAAGAGAAGATGATCAGATGGATGTGTGGTGTGACTCTAAAAAGACATAAAAAGGAGGCATAATCTTAGACAGATTTTTTTTAAAAAAAAGGTTAAAGTAATTTAGGTATCAACATGTAGAGTGGTAGCAACTTCAGTATAAAATGTATAGAAGTAAGAAAATTTGAAGAGTTTACCTTACATATTGTATAAATGAGCTTTAGTTAGGAATAGAAGTGTACTAGATTGTTTATATTAGGAAAACAGCTTAAAAGAATAAGGCTAAAGCCTAATGGTGATGATGATTATAATAGAGATGATGATGATGATCATGATTATAATGATGATGATGTGTATAAATATATATATATATATATATATATATATATATATATATATATATATAAATATATATATATATATATATATATATATATATATATATATATATATATATATATATATATATATATATATATATATATATATATATATATATATATATATATTTTATATATTTATTTTTACTTTTTAAATTTAATAGTGATCATTCTAATTCAAGAACGTTGTTTTAAACATTTGCTATCAGACTGCTAATGATACAAGTTTTATTTTTTGATTTAGATTCTGTATCTCAATGATATCCTGACCTATCGAATCGATATCCTGGTAATCCACTCACACACATAAATCTTTAAAAAAATGTTTATATTTTTATCTATATATCTATAAATTGTATATTTTATATAAATAAATTATATATTTTTAAATTTTTCATTGCATATTACTGTTTGTATTAAAAATCGATTTTAGAAATATTACAAGTACAGAGCTCAACATACAATTTAGTTTTATTTGACAATTCAATATATATCATAGCATAGTTTATTTACATTTAATAACATATTGCGATATTTTCTCCAGCGCATTTAAACGTTGATTCAACGTTATATTTCAACCTTTACTCGACGTCTTTGAGTCACGTTAAATCGACGTTTTACTGCCAACGTTAAAAATCCTTGCAAAATCGACTGCTTTAACAACATTACAGTAACCCTTTTCAAGTAACTTTTTTTCAACATTAAATTGCGATGCCTTTGCAACGCTTTTTAAGTAATACTTTTTCAACGTTTAGTTGCAACATTTTTGTAACGTCTTTTAGTAACGTTTTTTTAACGTTACGCTACAACGTTCAATCAACGTCTCTTAAACAACGTTACATATCTTTGCAAAATCGATTACTTTGACAACGCTTCCGCAACATCTTTTGCGACCGGTTTTCAACGTTAATTCAACGCTGACATGTTTGCTGGGTATATATATATATATGTATATATATATATATATATATATATATATGTATATATATATATATATATATATATATATATATATATATATATATATATATATATATATACATATATATATATGTGTATATATATATATATATATATATAAATATATATATATATATATATATATATATATATATATATATATATATATATATATATATATATATATATATATATATATATATATATATATACACACATACATGAGATGTTTCAAATCTGTTTATTTTTACAGGAACAACTTTTAATAATTTTTTACTTAGTATTTTAATGTGAATTAATGATTATGTAATATATAAATTGTATTAAAGAAAATGTGACAGCGACTGTGATACTAAGATACCTTCGCAACTACTAAAAATTTAAGTTATTGTATTATATGTTTAAGCAACAAAAATTGACTTAAACATGAATTGGAAAAAGTTGAAAAATGCTTTTTTTAGATTGAGTTTTTTTATTCCAATAATATTGCAACTTCAAATTATTTTTTTCAAAACTCTTTATTTTATTGTTTTTTTATTTTTCAAGAACTACTAATAATTCAGTCCTGAAACAAATAAATATGTTTTAATAAAAAGTAGGATCTAAAAGGGAAATTTTGAAATCTTATTGCAGTGTATTAAACAAACTTCTTATGCTTTTTACAGTAAAAAATTTTTCTCAGTTTTTAATAAGATATCTCAATATGATGCTTGCTTTGGAAAACAAAAAATATATTGAATTAGTAAATTATGAAGAATATTCTATTGTTTTGTGAAAATCTTATATCTTATTTAGATTCTTATATCCAAATTTAAATGTAATTTTTGTTTGAAACTAAAATAATATTTTTGAGAAAAAGTAAAAAAAAAAAGTAAAAGGTTTGACAAAGAGCTGATTTTTAAAATAAATATTCTAAAAAATTATTTTAAAAAATTAGCAAGCAAATATCATCAACTCCATCATAGTGTAAATCAGCTTATCAAATAAGCTGATCTTTCGTGTTTATACTCATAATGTTTTAAGGGAATAACTTCTGAAGTTGTAACCCGTTAGTAAGAGCTCCAAGATTGTGTTTAAGCATTTACCTAATAAGTCCTGAGACAAACACTTAAGCAAGTCAGAATTTATTTATCATCTTAGTTAAAATACTTTTTCGAAACACATTTGACCAAACCAGGATCTGGTATAATAATGGTGTTATTTTAAGAATAATTTTAAATGGTAATATTAAAAATTTATAAGACCATGAGAAATTTTTTTTTTTTGTGTTTGACAAGATGAAAATTAAGAGTTTTTTTGTATTCAATACAACTAAAAAAATTAACCTAATTGAAATGGGATTTTTAAACGGCACTTTTGATGAGTTTAAAAATAAAATTAAAAGTTTGACAAAAAATGTAATTGTTTATTAGAGGGATGTTTTCATCCTTCTGATATGCATTTGAACCTTTTTCTTCTAGTAACTTTAAAGAGATTCCAAAGTACTGCACGGACTACTTTAATTGCACGGCCTGATTTGTTGCATTTTGTTGCTAAAAAATTAAGAGGCCAGTTTTTTCACAGCTAACGTTTGAAAGCTTGAGTTCTTATGTTTGCATTTTGAATGTTTTATTCATATTTTATTAAAATTGGAACAAATGACTCGGATTTTTTTAGTGTATTTACATTATGTTATACTGAATTTTTCACTAACTGATTGCCTGCTTCAATTTATTACAGTAAAACAGATTACTAAAATAGGCCTTCAGATAGCTATATATAAATATGGTAATTAGAATAACATTACATGTTGCAAAGACCATCTACAAATCTTTAGTGGAAATAAAGTCTTTGATTTGTTATTTTTTTTTATTATAATTTGTTATTTTGTTTTTATTATAATTGAAACCAACAGTAATAAAGAAATAGCCATTTATTAGGAATTATTATTGGTTCTCTGTCTTTTTTTAAATTGTTTCACCTGATCTTTCCTTACTTAATCAGTTGTTTCTTTTTGCAAATTATTATAGAAGATATTTATAACGTACAAGATTCATATTTTATTCCTAACTCTTGGTGATTGTCACAAGTAAAATCAACACTGCTGTAAAAATTTGTTCTGCAAAACATTTAATTGAAAAAGAATAACTGCAATATTTAATTAAAATACGAGATATGACATCTAGAATACTAAAAAGATGAAAAATAAAATCAGACAGAGGTTGACTTGGATATATAAGTCTACATCTGGATAATATTTTCAGGTATTCATTGTTAAGAATATTTTGATCTGTAGAAACCATTTTTTGATTACAAGTATGACATCTAAATCTTTTTTTCAACTTTTTTGTAACATACACTCCTGTTGTAACAGCAACTTCTATGCTATCTTCAGAAGACGGACACTCAAAAATTTCTGTAGACAACAAAGCAATTTCTTGCATAATTTTTTCTAAACTAGATTTATCAAATGTCTGATAAATATTTTTTTCCCGGAAATTAGTATCTTCCTTTAGAAGACTTCTTACTGCCAAAATTTTTTAACTTTTGCAAACTTCTAAAAGACTCACTATTTGTCTACACTTACTAAACATAGCTTCAAAAGATCACTTTGTAACCTGGAAGTAAGAACATATGTACAGTCTTCTTCAAGCAAATCATCGATAAAAGATGCAATTGCCCGTCGTGTTGTAATAAGACCGAGAGAAGTTTGTTTGGAAAATGTAAAATAATCACATTTTGACCAAATATCAATCCAATTTGCAATTTCTCTATAAAATGTGGGTTTGTTATCACCCTTCAGAGCAGCATTGCCAAGTTGATTGGATTTACTAACATTCTGCTTTTAATTAAGTGTGATGAATAACTTATTAAACAAGAATAAAAATTGTGCTGCATCATTTCTTTCAAGAAAAAAACTCAATATTGCAGCTTTAGGTGTTTCATCAAACAATGCCAATACAAGATTAACATCTTGTTTGTTATTTCCAGGCAGAGTGACCTGATAATTAGTTTTCCTTGCTTTTTTTAATTACTAATCTTTTTCATAAGTTTTATGAAATAAACTCCATGCTACGTAACCAGCAGGAACTTCAACTTTGCCTTTAAACAAACCAAATGAAAAAGAATGCGAAACATATTTTTTTGCATTTAACAAGTTGTTTCTATCATTTTTTATTAAATGGATTATATCGAATAATAAGTACGTTTTTAATAATCCTTTATAAACTGCATGACATAAATATCTTTTCATCTCCAGTATATGCTTTATGAAACTCTCAAAATGCATTAACATTGGTAAAATAATTATTTGCAACAACAGCTCTTACTTTAAATCCAGATTGGTGCAATGAGATAATGCATTCATCATTTTCTTTTTTAAACCATGAACCTGTTATATGCACTTCAGGTAAAGATCTCACAATATAAGATTACTTTCTGAATCTTCACCAACATATTTACCACTACAAGAAGCACTCAGTCACTTGATACACCATTTTGAATTTTTCTTAATAAACTAAAAGATGATAAGGACAATTGTTTTAACAACAACTTACATGAGTGTGCTGAAGTGTGACATAAAATTAGTGCATAATGTATAACGGAAGTAGAATATGGAGGTCTGCCTTGTGAAGAATAGTATCTTATTTCATTTAACTCTGTCAAAAGTATTAGCTTTATTTCATATATGGGCAAGAAAATTTTTTATCATACTACAATTTGCAATTATGACCACTGCGAAACCATTCAGGTAAACAAATATGATATCCAATATATAGGACAATGAAACATTAAGGTCTTTACTAACTGTTATTGACTCAAATATAGTTGGTATACCTGATATTTCATCAAAACAGAGTTTATGGTAAACAACACTATCATGAAGTTTCTTTAATGTAAATCCTGGTGAGCAATGCTGTTCTGTTAAGAATCAAGACTAATTATTCTATCAATATTTTGAAAATCACTGAACTTATCTTTTCCCAAGTACGTTAAAGTTGGTTCTTTTCTTGGCAACTTTGGCACCCTTAAAGTTGATTAACTACTTATTTTATCTGAATAGTTGGAACAGGTTGAAGAAACTATTTCATAGTACATCTTTTCCCATATTTGATAAACTTAATACAAATAGCAGAGTATTTAGATAGAACCCAATCTTTCTCGCAAATTGCTTTCTTCAGGAAAATGAAGTGTAGACTTTTTTGGACCAGTAGAGTAACCAGTTTTACATTTTGTGATAGCACATTTATTAGCCACTTTTATAACTAAAAAAAAAAATTAAAAAGCTACAATAATATTGAGATTTCTTACATTTATTATTGAAATTATCTCCACTTGAATAACATCGCATAAAAAAGCAGTTCGACTGTATACAA